TCTTCATTGTGTTTTCTCAGGAAAACGGGTGGCTATTGCTCTCCTGCTTGGAATACCCCAGAGCTTTTGGATCTGATCAGGATGTGGAATGAAGAATAGGTGCAATCACAACTGCAAGCGATCTGTAGGAACTGGGCCGTATCCATTTCTTGGTGGGAAAGGGCATGAGTGAAATATCTTGTCTCTGCATTGCAGGGTAAAGGAACTCTAGCAATTGTACCAGAAGGCGAAGGAGTCAAAGCACCGGTGTGATGCTGTACACGAGGCATGCTGTTTTTATGGAGAACATTACACAAAACTGGGTGGGGAACCCACATCTGTGGGCAAGGACGGTGTGGATACTTCCTACTGCACAGAGTCAGCAGAAATAGAAATTAATCCAGAGGAAGAAGCTCTTGATGAAGAGGTGGAAGTGACAGTGGCGCAGGCAGCCAGGAACTATTCTCAAATCCCACTCCTCATGATGAGTCTCAGTAGCTGGACACAGGAGCATGAAGCACGGGTGGAGGGCGTGAGGTGACCAGAGGCTGTATTCCTGGGAGCTGGTTAAGCCCTGCTTGAGTGAGTACTAAATCCAAATAGCACTGATGTGCATAGAAAGATCACTAGAATCTTGCCTAGAGTTTCTTGTTGAACCTTTTCCTTAAGTACTTTCTCGCAGAGATTCCTTGGCAGGGCTGTCATTTTGCCACCCCCAGTGTATGACAATCTCCCAAACCATTCCTCAATCTGTTCTGCTGGAACCAAGGTGACAAAGAGTTGGGCTGCATAAGGCACTCCCTGATCACATCCAGAAACAAAGCCTGGGTTTGCCTGAGGGTTACCTCAGCCCATTTAATTTATGCTTCCTGTGAATTCGAGAGAGAGTTGTGCTAGGAGGAGGGGTTGGTTTGGGGATTTTTTTTTTGGTGATGGGGGGGGGGGTTGGTTGGTTGTAGTATTTTTTCAAGACAAAGAATAGAATAGAATCCTGCCTTATCCACTTCAGGGCATCTGCTTGTGTTTGTACTCCCTGATGTGGTTATGGCTGACACTTACACAAGGGTACCCTATGCAGCACCAGCCTCAATCAAGATCTCTGTAGGACAATAAAAAGGCTATGTCTCATACTAAAAAGGCTTTATTAAGGCCTCTGACCCACCTGGACTGGAGACAGGAAAAAGAAACATCAGGAGCAGTAAGCCTAACATGATAATAGCTGGGAAAGAGCCATTGGATTACACTGTAAGAACAGATCAAGATAGATGAATTTCCTTCCCCCTTGCTTTGACTACTCAGTTTCAAGCAAACTGAGCCCTTTCACTGCTTTGTGACTCCTAAACATGAACATGCAGAATTCAGCCAAAACAGAGTCCCAGAGTTTTAAGATATAGAATAAGGTGGAGATCCAGGCACTGCAAAAGCTTTACAAACTAGGCGAGTCCTCAGTCTTGATGAATAACAAGGAGTAACATATAAAATGCTCTTTAGCTATATCTGTTTTAAACAAAAGGTTTATTCTTACATGTTAGCATGTCTTTATTGGTGCCATTTATTTTTACAGCAGTGAGAGCATAACTACTTTTATGCCACTGAATTTGATTGTGTATGCCCATTGCTTTAAATTTACGAGCATCTCTTGTTGCTCATGAGGGGGGAAAATCTCTGTTGGGAGTTTAGTTAGCTCCCTATTGAAGTTAAGCAACAGATATATATGGAAAATTCCTAAAGGATTATTCCTAATGGTGCCAGTGGGGCCCTGGCTTTGCTTATAAAAATATGTGTGCCACTAGAAGCCACAAAGATATAATTGTCTCCAAATTATCCCAGGAAGAATTATCAACTTTCAGATGAGGTATACGAAAGTGAATTGCAACATATGCCAATTTTCTCTGAGGGGGGTTGGTGTTTCTGCTGGGTTCCCGACAATATGAGTCCTGATTTTTTTTCTGATTTATAGTGGCCAGGAATAATTCCCTTGAAGTGCAGTAATTCCACTGATTTACTGGAGTTAAACCTGAGTTACATTGGTGTAACTCATCAGAGAATCAGATCTGCAGCCTTTCACACAGAAAGGGTCATCTGACACTTGATAGATTGTTGTAGGGATGAACAACAGAATGTCTAGAGTCTCATAAGACCATTGTCTCCCAGTCCTAGTTTGATCCCAGAAAATGTAGTCACTCTCGTTAAAATAAGCTTTATCCTATGTTAACAAAAGGACTCTGTACATCAGCCTTTTCTTTCTACTAGAACAGTAGTGTTTTTCTACTTAATCTCAAGAGACTAGTTTTCTCAGAGAAGTCATGCAAGATCCTGATAGAGCCGAAGAAACTTTGTGAAGACCAAATTATAAAACCCATTCTTTATAAGACTACTTGAAAAGGAGCCACCTCAGATGTTCATGTTTCATTATCAGTTATTTCTCTTTATTCCACCCACTCACCCACTAACTTTGTGAAATAAGTTCCCATTCTCCGAGAGCTGTGTGAGGTCAAGCAGCAAAATTCTAATCTGGACCAGGATTTTTAACCTCTTGAGTCCAGTGACATCTGTAGATATTAAAATCTGGGGTTCCAGTTTGGGTCCATTTTTTACTTTCTCTCCAAATGACTGATGATCTCAGAGGTGAATTTCTCCCCTGACAGTCCAGTGCTTGCTCAAGAGATTTTATTGTCTTCATACCGTTGCTAGGAAAAACAGCTGATTAAGGGAGCAGTGTAGTTGCCAGTTGATGTCATATATGCTTGATAGAAGTCTTATCAGAAGCTCACACACTCACATGAATGCTCATGATTAGAATGGCTTTCTCCATATGAAAGGAGGCCCATTCGTTCTTCATTTCATTACCTGTTGGAAGCAATCTTGTCTGACCTAAGTTTTAAAGCTTCAAAGCAATACTGCCTGTCACCCCTCACTACTCGTGCCCATCGCACCATGACGAGCAGATGCAGCAAAGAAATGCCAGGTGGTGGTATGTTTTCTTCCTCTCTAACTGCTTCAATTAGATGAGTAAGTTAGAGCTTTTGGAGCGTCTTTGTTTTGCTGCACTCACAAAAGCAGAGTCCTTGGAAGGCTTTTCAGATGCTATCTGCGATGAAACACATCGCCCGGATATTGAGAGTGAAGCACAAATGGATTCAGGGAAATAAATCACATCAGAAGAAGTGAAGTGAGGACAAGACTTAGCAGTAATGCTGAACTGTAATTCTGTCCCCTTGGATGGCATGATTGATCCTCAGCTTCAACAAGTCGTTGCATATAAGATTTTTATACTCATTCTCTGCTAGACATGGTTTTTCCTTGATGTCATTTATAGATTCTGAAAAGAGACCATTCTTTTTTATAAACTCTTATTTTAATTCTTATTAATTAAGTCTTTTGTCGCATGTTCAGCTCCCATTATGGCAAACTCTTCCTATCAATCAAAAATACACATTTCTCTAGTTTATATAACCATGATAGTTTTAATTCTGTTTCCCGAGTAAAGACTAAAAGAAAGCCCTTAGTCTTAGTGAAAAGCTAGGAACTGTATAATAATAGGGTAGGATCCAATAAAGTTTTGCAGCTCTTTTTCTTAGACTCTTAATGCCAAACCTTGGCCCTTGATCCAACTGCTTTGCTGTATGCAGCTATATAGCCAGAAGATTAGCTCTCAAATATTTCTTTTATCGAAGATAATCATCAGGTGACACAGAGCTGAAATATCAGCTTCCAGTCTCCTTAGCAAGGGAACTCTCTGGGACAAAACAGGTATGGTTGAGGTATCCATTGTGCACCTTGGTAATCCATGGCTGTTCCAAAGGCCCCTGAAGACCATAAGTAGCTGAACGTATATTAGCATAGCCCTGAGACTTTCACTAGTGCCCTCTCCCACCCCTCATCCCCCACCCCCCAGCCAGAGAATGAAAGTAGGCCAGATAGTTTACTTTTTTCAACAATCAGAATGATACTATGATAAACCTTTTTACAAGGACAGACAATATCAAGCAAAGAGGGAAGAATATGTTAATTTTCCCTCAAATAAATTATTCTCTGACTTGCTTTCCCTTCATCTATAATTAAATTGCAGAAAGAAGCCTAAACACTGTTTAAAAAATTCCTTTGGAAAATCTCTTAGAATTCGTTGAAAACAATTTTACCGTAACAGAAATTAACATATTAGAACTGGGTATCTGTTGGTTGAACATTTTCTAACATGCGTTAGCCCACTGATATCAGTAGGACTCCTCCTTCAGTAAGAGCTTGCAGAATTATGCCCTTGGTTTGTAGGGGCAATGACCCGTGGTTAACTTAAGAGGTATCAGCAGTTGAGAAATGTAACATTTCCATGGTTTTTAACCATCTAGCTTCTTCTGTGCCCCTTGTGAAAGGACAATGTGAAATCCGTAATTTTATTTCCATGTTTTTTGTCTTTAATTAAAAGAATATGTATAAATGATGTCACAATGGGTGTGACAAGCAGGGACAAATGGGAGTATAGATTGAAAGAAGAGCCCGGCTCACTTTCACTGCTTCCATCCTTTAGGCCAGTGGTTCTCAGTGTGGTCCACAGCACCTTCCAGGTGGTCCTCAGCTTGAGGTGAGCTCTCACCCTTTCCCTGCAACAGGGAGTCCGCACTTGTACTCCAGCCTCGCCCTCCCCCCTCCACGAGGTTAGAGTGACAATGCTGGCTTCCTTTGGGGGGGGGGATCTCTGAGGGTATGTCTACACTACAAAGTTAATTTGAACTAACAGCCGTTAGTTCGAATTAACTTTAATAGCGGCTATACATACAAACCTCTAGTTCGAATTTAAATCAAACTAGCGGAGCGCTTAATTCGAACTATGTAAACCTCATTCTATGAGGAGTAACACCTAGTTCGCATTAAGTAGTTTGAATTAAGGGCTTGTTCCAGTTGCAAGCCTGCCAGCACCTAGCCAGCAGACCCTGCACCTGGCACGACATGAGCCAGCCACCTGCTGCCACCCAGCCCTCCGCCTCTTCCCGGGACCAGGCTGGAGGCTCCCAGGAGCCTTTCCGGGGCCACAAGAGGTGGGCGACCACCTGGTCTAATGCGGACATCGTGGACCTCATCGAGGTTTGGGGGGAGACCTCCAACATCCATGACCTCCACACTAGGCACAGGAAAGTGGCCGTCCACAGCTGCCAGCCTGGCCACCAGAGGCCACATGCGAACCCAGGAGCAGGTTTGCATGAAAATCAAGGTGGTCCAGTGAGACCCCCGACCCTGAGCTCTGAGCTTAATACATAAGAACATAAGAACGTCTGCACTGAGTCAGACCAAAGTTCCATCTAGCCCAGTAGCCTGTCTGCCAACAGCGGCCAACACCAGGTACCCCAGAGGGGATGGACCGAAGACAATGACCAAGCCATTTGTCTCGTGCCATCCATCTCCAGCCTTCCACAAACAGAGGCCAGGGACACCATTCCTACCCCCTGGCTAATAGACCCAACCTCCATGAATTTATCTAACTTCTCTTTAAACTCTGTTATAGTTCTAGCCTTCACAGCCTCCTGTGGCAAGGAGTTCTACATGTTGACTATGTGCTGTGTGAAGAAGAACTTTTGCTTATTAGT